TCTTTAAAAATTAAGTGTCTGAAGATAGGATTCAAGAAAGTTCTGTTCTTTTAATTCCTTGAAAACAGCCATATATTTTTATATTTTCTTAAGAATAGGCTACAAGTCAGGTTGACTAAAGACTTTTTTATATAAAATAAATATCAGTAACCAATATGATATGTTTCACAACATGGTTTTTCAGGGAAATGAAAGTTAGATATTATTTATCATAGAATTAGCATAAAGTTTTACTTTTCAATAACTAAAAACACACAAAACAAATGTTTTTTTGTTTTTCTTGAAAAATTAACATCACCTTGTTTTATATATAATCTATAATTAAACTGACAAACTGGATCGGATCCTAACTTTTAATTATCAAACTAATACTTATCATGCAGAGTTTAGTCGCTGTCATACACATACAATCGCTCAGACCACATGGATGTACATGACACAAAATATACTGTTGTCAGGAAAAATCAGAATTATATTATATATTTTATTGTAAACAAACAACTTTCTGTTCTCCCACAATCTCTAGAAATCAAATCAACAAAAAAAGATTGTTTTCTAAAACACAATTCAAGTTCTTCATAGTCAACAAACCAGAGGAAAGCATAGTCTTTAGAGTCTGTAAATCATCATATAACGAGCAATAAAATATAAAATGAATCTCATAAATCACAAAAGAAACCAAGCCTTTCCTCTTCAGGGGCACCATTAAATCTGTCTGTTTCTACAGCTGATGATAATGATGTAGCTGAATGTAGATGTGGACACACACATCTTTGTGGTTGACTTTTGCTTTGTGTAAAAATATTTTTAATGAGCCAATAAGTTTGTTTCCATCCAAAAAAACCTCATTGTAGTCTTGAAATGCAGGTGTAAAACACTTGAGTCACACCACTGTCACTTTGTTTATTATTATAATTATTATTGTTATTATCATTACATGAAACGGATTCTTCTTCTCTCTCCTCTTCAGGCGGTTTGCTGTGCGGACCACGAGCACTGCTGTCCTCAGGGCTACACCTGCAACATGCAAACGGGAACATGTGAGAAGAAGAAGGACGCGCTGGTCCACACCCTCCCTCAGAGCAAAGTGGTACGGTCCGAGCCGAGAGACACGGAGGACGACACGGACGTACCATGCGACAGCACGGGGGAGTTTCGCTGCCCCAAACAAGAAACATGCTGCAAGATGTCCGCCACAGAGTGGGCCTGCTGCCCCTCACCCAGGGTACGTTCACAATCCAAACTCACACCGACACTTCACACTTTGTTGTAGGGGAATTGGTTTTGTAAGAATTACTGTGATGTAATTTGAAATGTCTCTTCTGGTTTGGTCCTGTTGAACGTGGAGAATGTGACAAGTGAACATTGTGTCACATGACCCAAAGAAACTGAAGCCACTTCCTGTTTTCTGCCTTGTTGAACAACCAGTCTCCCGCTGTCGTCACATGTACTGTTTTATTTTGTTCCACTACTCTTTCGTGTGTCAGAGCGACGTGTTCCTCACGCGTCTGCAGGACACTCAGATATGATTAAACTTGATTGTGAAATGAATATTAGATAGATTATACATTAGAAAATCAGCTGACAGAGTCACTACGGACAAGTTACACAGGAATCTGATCTAGATAATGTCACATTAAATCTCTTGTTTGCAAATATCACTGATGCAAACAAAGCTTGTGACTGTGTATAAAGACATCCAGGAATCGATCAGTGTTTCCTACATTAGTAGATTATTCAATTATCAAAGCAGATTGATCAGCTGATTAATCTTTTTTAGCCATTTTTTAAGCGCAACATACACAATATTTGGATTTTGTGCTGTTAGACAAAATGAGACATTTGAGCCATATTAACACCTATTTACTTTAATTTTATAGACAGAATGATTAATTGAAAAAATAATCGTAGCAGCTGTAGTGCATTTGAATTTAAACCGTTGCATTAACTACCTGCAATGATCAGAGCTTTAAACATGTAAATGAGAAATCTGGTTTTCTTAGACACGCAACCGTCTTCTAATCAGCTTTTTACAGGTGAGCACATCAGTGACAAAGACATTAGACAGGGGAATTATCACTGTGACAGCAGAGCGGCACAGTTAAAGGAAAGATCGTCACACACTATAGCAATTTAAAAACAATCAAAACCAAAGTCTGACTAAAAGGGAAAGTAACACAATGTAGTTTCATGACATTGTTTTCACTGCTGAACATTTGACAAATTCAGGAGAGCTGTGCTTTAACTGCACCTTCAGTCTAAATGTATATCCAACACACACATTAAAATGTCAGAAAGCCACATCTAGAATAACCAACACACTGATTACTGATGTGTGTGTTTTTTAAATTTGGTGGTGGACGTGTCGTTTTTCCTGACCATTAGGATCACAGGTTGTGGCTTAAAGCTGGTCAGCAACAGTTTTGAATTAACAGGACATTGATTATTTATTTGTTCATGTAGTCTTACACTTAGTAAAACACACCGTGCAACTAATGTGACTGAAACCTGCAGCTTAGGAAAGCACCGTCTGACTGGAAGCTGTGAGGTTTAAAAAAATATTAACACCTGCAGTTTCAGCTGATTCTTCAGTTTAAGAATCGAACTCTGCAGCGTCTCAGTGTAACAAATATTTTTTGTTTTGACAGGCAACCTGCTGCTCTGACTCAAAGCACTGCTGCCCTGTGGGATACTCCTGTGACCATAAGTCTGTAGGCTGCACTCTGAAAACCCAGCTGACCTGGGACACTTTGCTCGCAGACAGAAAGAGAGACTTGGTCCCACGTGGACTTTAATCCCACTGAGGTGCACGGATCTTCTTCATCTTTCAGTCCATAACATCCATCTGCAGCTCGTGTTGTCTGTGGACAATAAGGGCTTTTTTCCAACTTCCTGTTTGTTTAGTTGGGTGATGGAGGTGTATTTACCACATAAGTATTTGCGATGGTAGGTGTGGAGGATGTTTAGTGCGAGACAGGAAGAAAAAATAAAAGGGCACGCTGCAGTTATCTCTGGCAATTAAGGGGTTTTAATCAAGTGGAAGCACTTTGGTGGGAGAGTCCTGATTGAAACTTAATGTTGTCATTTCAACAGTGAGCAGGAGTCTTTCATGTTTTGCACCTGGCACAAAATGTATCATCCTCATGCTCATGTCCTGGAAATCAATAGACTACAATAACACAACCATGAAACATAGGCAGGACATACTGCTCAGCTTCACAGTGTTAATGTTATTCTATATTTTTCTTATTGTCTACAAACCCTATGAAAAACAGTCCATCTCTGAATCCTCTCTGGCCGGCCTGTGGCATTCAGCCTTAAGCCCATTTTTTCTCACTGAGGATGTAATTGATGAAATTCACTGGAAAATACTGGACCCATAAAATAAAGCTTTACCAAATATAGTTATAAAATTATTATTCTGCTTTTTCTGCCAGCAAATATCTGTGGCCTGGGAACTGGGAATCAGCAGCAGGACGGAGTGTGTAGGTCTGAGTCAAACTGAACTAGTGCGTGTATATTTTCAGGTTGGAGCTGCATGACACGGGAGTAAGATATATCGGGCTTCTTTCCATGGGACGAGTTGACAATAAGAAAAATACAGAATATCATCAGCCCATTTTTGATTTTGTTTTTATTGGAACTGAGTATTTAACTAGTGCTGTTACATTTCTCATTAAAAAGACTTGAATGTACTTGCCGCCTTATTTTGGGCAAAATTAGCTAAAATTGGTGCATAATGTTTTTTTGTTGTTGTTGTTCCCTTTTTATGTCCCCACTTGGTGAGGAAGAAACACTTCTTTGCTTACTGCGTCATTACATGTGCGCAAGTATGATCCACATACAGAGGCGATTTAATTTAGTTGTACAGCTGTGAATTTGGTGTATGTTGATTTTTATTTAATCCTTATTTTTTCTGTGACTTAAAGCACCAGGAGTCGTGTAATTGAAATGCAAAGTACTTGTAGAAATAGTTTCTTAAAGTTTAGATCTTTATTTTCTCTTTATCACAAAAGAGCAATGACAGACCAGACAAATAACTTGTGCCTTCTATAATTTCACTGTAAGAGGTGCCAGTCTGTCGGTGTCCAGTTTCCATTCCATCATTGGAAAAGAATTAACATGCTTTTATTTTGTGTGTTTGGACAGTTGAGTGAAGACTTCTCCAAACACAGCCAAGAAATAAGAGCCAAGTACATCTTAATGTCATGAGGGAACAAATTCATGAGGGTATGCTCCATCGGCAGAGAACAAAAAACAGACACTGTTGTGTACTGTTGTTTGGTTTAGGGCTTTTTAACAACTCACAAGGGCATCATTTCCTACCAGGGGATGGAAAATCCTATTTAAATCCTTTTCTTTCCCCCTCACTTTTATAGTTTCATGCTGATTATCTTACTGAAATCTCTCTTTAAAAAAAAAAAAAACTTATCTGTTTGGCTGCCAAAATCCAGACAAGAGAAGAGTTGTTCATGTTGGTGGTGGTTGTTGGCACCAGATGGAGTCTGAAGGGAATACCTGCAGACATTGTTCAGGGTGGAGAAACGACTTTACATCCTTTTGTTTGATATTTGAATCTGTAAAAAGACGCTTCATGGAACATCAGTCATACATAAAGAATAGAAAAAAGGCCAGATTGTCTGTCATCTATCTTTATAACTTTGAAAAAAAAAAAAACTTTGAAATTCAGAGTTCTGAGACCAACCCCACGCCATCGTCTACAGTTTCCAGTCTTTTCAGTGATACGTATTGAGTCTTTGTTTTTTGTTTTCTAGCTTATGGAGAAAACTTTTCCAACCACTGAATCCACTCTTCAAGATTGTGAAAACACTGCATCTGATATCTGTAACTAGAACTTTCTGGAACGACCAGACAGGTCATGAGGTGGTTGTAATTTTGATCAAATCTAGCTTTCATGAACTAAGATTGGACACATCCTGAAATGTATTCTGTGAACATGTGCTCGTGGTCCAGTCCACATCATGTTATCACTGCTCCTTTATAGATGCTTGTCTGTGTTTATTAATGTGTTTATTTTCCCGAGGTACATTTTTGCAGCCTTTAAAAAAAGGCTTTACTTTGAGGAGAAGGGGGGCGGGTGGGATTAAATACTCGAGACTGAAATAAAGTTCTTGAAAATATCAGTTTGGTGGATGTGGTAATTAAATTCGGTGAGGTCACCCTTGAAGTTTTATCAGTTGACAGGATGTGCAGACACTCCACACAAGCCCACACACTTCCTCTGGCCTTTTCCCTTCGTATCCTCTTACCCCCACCCCCCGTCTCCCTCTTACTCGTCATCAAAAAGTTGTTATGACGACCCGACTAAACACAGGACAGTTGGCTGGAGACACAAATGCGGAGCTGGGGGTGGGTGGCGGGGGACAGTTGTAGTTGTCCCATATTTACTGCTTGGCAGGCCAGCAATGCCATGCTGATAGCAGAGCTTTATTTCATCATCTGCCCTCTGGTGGCTGAAAACAAAAAAACGGAGGCTCTTCTGCTCGAATAGAGGTAGAAAACAATGGGAAACACATGGTGTTTCAGCTCTAATTGAGGTCACATACTCTCCTGTGTGGCTCCATTGTTTAGGATCTCCAGGACAGTTACGTTTATGACAGACTGCTGCCTTTGTGTACGGAGAGAGAGCAGGGAGTTGTCTGTTTCACTTTGAGTTAATCTAGGAAGTGCTTTGTCCTTTATAAATGTTAAAGGAGTACAGTATATTCACTCTAAAACTGTGCCTAAGTGCTATTGTGACATATTTGTACTTGAGTATTTCCAGGTTATGCTGCTTTATATGTGTACTCCACTACAGTTATTTAACATCTAGTCATATTATTGTGGTGGGTGCTGGTTGTTTGGCAAATTTGTTCACATTTCTAAATAATGTGGTTCTTTCTAGTTTCCCTCTGTTTCCAGTCTTTATGATAAGTTAGCTAACCAGCTACTGGCTAGCTTCATATTTAGTGAACAGATAAAGTGCTTTGAATCCTCTCATCTAACTCTCGATATATTTCTTAAAACGTACAAATTAAAAACACAAAACTGACCAAAAATACATTTTCCAAGCTCTAAATCTGTATGTCCCAGTGTTCATTGTTTACTTGTATGTGATTTGGGACTACAAGCTAGCTAACTCCCCTCATATAAAACCAAAAACACAGTTGACCATTAGCTAGCAGAGTAGTATGAGATGTGTGTTTGGATTCAATTAGCAAATATATTCACATTTCTTTTCTTCTGGCCATCTATACGCCTGGTTCCATGGCCCAAATCTGGCCCATATACGGCATGATTATCAGATGCTACTTCCACATCTGGACCAATTCTGGCGTACACACCGAAAATCTTTTTACCTAAGGATAACATCAGGAATCTGCCCAGATGTGGAAGTATATGGGCAGACTTGGGCTGAGGATTCAGGCATATGTTAGACCAGAGAGTCTGCTATCTGGGATTGTTTCCATTATGCTAAACTAAGTTTATTGGCTTTCAATCTGATATCTAATTCAAACTCTTGGGAAGAGCATGAATTATCAGGAAGCATATTTCTGAAAAATGTCAAACATAACAGATTGAGAAGAAGTTTGATTTTACTTTTGGTTTATACGAGTGTCAAGTTTTCAAACATCTCCATCGTGTTTTTCAGTTGAACTACTTCATCAATATCTGTTGCAGTGAACGAGACCTGAAGAAGCTCAACAACCCTGCTGAGGCTTTTCAGTTCTATGTATAGCAGAGTTGCCCCACCAACAGTAGAGAGGACCGAAGTGACAAAAACCCATTGACGTGAGAGTAAACTTTCTCCTCAGCTTCACCATTGGCCATTCGCTGATCCCATTCACATGTTGCCAGGGAGAGGGACCCTCCACCCAAATCACACACACACACACACACACACACACACACACACACACACACACACACACACACACACACACACACACACACAGAGAGAGGAGAGTTCACACACTCCCTCCACTGGTATTTTGCTAATTCCCACAGGAATGTATAGATTCCAGTGATCTCTATTTGGGACAGCAGATGTGTTGGTGGAGAGGAAGCTGCAGTGATAGATTCATGTCAATCACATCATTTAAAAACAGAACCACAATTAACAGATGTATTACACTTTGAATGTAAATCATTAAATAAATTCAGCAAAACAAAATGTATTTTTTAATACTTTGAGATCAAGACTTGTGGACAAATATTTGCAATCTTCACTTATTCAGTCTTGGAAGTTTTTTGTGGTTAAAACAGGCAAACTTATTGGTTCACAACCAAATCTGACTGATTATGGCAAAGACAATGAATACACTTGATGATTAAGATCTAAATTTGGGCTGTTAAGTAAAAAAAAAAAAAATATATATATATATTGCTTGATTAAAAAAATAAAAAATAAAAATAAAGGTTTACTACTAATACTTGCATGTGCACTCATGATTCCTGTTCTTAATATGTGCCATCGTCACTGTACTGGCACTGACATTGTACTTCATGTCTAAATTATATATGCAGCTTAACATTAATTGGATTACACTTACAACTGTGCTATTTTGACACAATTACATTATAAATATTGTAATTGTTTTATAATAAAGTGTATTTATGTGGATATTATGTGTTTTACATGCTTAAAATGGAATTTGAGTTTTATTTCCAGTAACTAGGTGGATTTCAAAGCACTTGTTTCCAACTTTATTGTACTATTCAGTATTTCATATGTGCAAAATACATTGCTAAATGCATTTATGTGATATTACATGTGAAATTGTTATTTTCACATTAAACCTTACATTTTACAATATGTGAAAATCAAATGTGCCTTATTGGTTATGTTTACATTTACTTAAGTAAACGATATAAATGCTTCTTCCACCACTGGCTGTTACACAGTTGTACAGTTGCTGTATAACTTCCTGATGTCTCAGTTTATTTTTTTTTGTCTTAAAGTAACAATAAATGAAGCATTGAATGACCTAAAAGAGCACGACAGACGAGATCCAAGTGTCACTGAGGGCATCTACAGTATCTATCCAGAGTCCTCGGAGGCTGGTATCTGTGCGTGGGTGTTGGGTGGAGGGGGGGTGGGCCGGGGTGGGCCGGGGTGACAGAGGTGTAAGAGCTTATAACTCACACACGTTGGTCGACCAATCAGCATAGCCTGCGGGGGCCGAAAGCCGGTAGGTTACACTTGGATACTAATATACACATGACACAAGACAAACAGACAGAAAGAGAGTCAGGGACAGACACTTTTTATCTCTCTTTTTTTTTTTTTTTTTTTTTTGAAGAGAATCACTGGATTTCACTTGAACCCGAGAGACGAGGGGACCACCTGATTGTCCTTGTGAGGTAATGTGCTCTGTTGGTGCAGAGTTTCAGGTACAGCTGGAGCTTGAAACCTTTGTTTTACTGGAAGCCTTCTCACACTCAGGTCGCAGAGTTGGAAAGCGAGCGGTGCAGCATGGTCATTGTTTGCGATATGGGACTGGGGACAAAGATCTTGCATGTCCTGGAAGATTGATTGTCCTAAATATGGAGTCACCTGAGTATAAGCAGGTTTAAATCACTAGAATGTCCATTGGTCAAATACGGATCTTTTTAATTTCTATTCAACAGCAAAAATTATAGAGTAGTTCTAGTTTTCTATTAGATAAAATTTCCATTATCAAATAAAACAACTCCCCTTGCAGGCTTTCTTTGAGGACTTCAGGACAAGTGCTGTCTTTTATGTGTGGGAAGTTTCCATGTTTTGATCCCCCAGTAGCCGCTGTCAACATGGCGAGGGTCTGAGGAAGAGAGACTCTGACAGCTGGCCGGCCCAGTGGAAAGCATGCAGCTACTTCTCTGCGTGCCAAATCTCTGCATGCTATTTATACTCACTTTGCCAGGCTCACTAGTGGTGTCTGTTCATTCACGCCCCGGCCACGGCAAATACCGTCACATTAAAAAGCTTGCCAATTACAAATTTGCTATTTCTACTATGGTTGAATTGACAAGTCTTTTTTGTACTATGGGGGGATGTAAATTCCTAAAAATAAAAAAAATAAAAAAAAAGATTATATCCTTGTGAGTGTGGAGAAGTCTCTAATACAATCACATGACCAGTAAACTTTACAGAAACCTGGAGCTTAAAGGGCAGCTTAAGACCACCTGAAATCCTCGTCTTTGCTGACCTCCAGTGGTCTAACTTCTCACCTCGTTGTAGTGATATACAAGTGTACTCCAGTACACTTGTATATCACTACAACAAGGTGGTTACAGGTGCAACAGGTGTGGGAAACTTTCATCCAGAGAGGGCAGCAAAACTCTGCTTTTCAGCCTTGTGATCAGTTACTTACGTTTAACAGCGTTTTACCAGCCAAAGACAGCACACAGTCAGTTTTACTTTTAGCTTGTTCCTAACAATTAGTGACCATGACAAAACACATGAATAAAAATGAATATATTTTTCTGGTTGATGCGATACTTTTTTTTTTTTTTTGCCACACTAGCAATGAGTTAAATATCTTAACAAATATCGCAAGGATTTAAATTTGGTACCTTCCCGATCCTCAGAGGATGAACGCTGATTCCCTGACTTTTCATCTAACGCCCCCAGCTGGTCAAAGCTTTCACTAAATACCCAGCAAAATATCTCAACATCTACTCAATGGATTGGTACCAAATTATCTACAGACGTTCATGATCCTCAGAGGATGAAACCTAAAGACTTTGGTGGTTCCCTGACCTTTCCTCTAGCACCACCAGGTGGTTCACGTTTGTGGCTTTAAAGTGAAATGTCTCAACAATTATATGTGACATTACACAAGTTTTCCTCACGTACCATTATCAAATTGAAATTTTACTTTGTCTAATACTCTGGTTCATGTTCAAATACCTGCAAAACAAGTGATATTTTCATTATTTTATTCATTATTTTCATTTCATTTATATAAATACATGCAATAACATATGTTTCAGAACAGTTATAAAATACAAAACCTGTAGATGCTAAATTAAGGAGCATTAACAGCAAAGCAGAAAAATGATTTTAGAACAAATAGATAAAAGTACAAAAAATAAAATGCATATTTAACACAGAAATACTGGAAATGGAGTGTTTTAAGTGTGTTTTTAAGAAGACAATATGGGCTCATGGAATATTTAACCCTTGATTTCACAGTATTTATATGTACTGATGTGTATCTATTATTCTAAATGTGTATTTTTTTGTTCCTCATCTCCTCCAGGTCTCACACAGTAGATGCACGCCTACACTGACAGAGAAATGGCCATTCCCCGGATGTTTAACTCCAACACGCCGTTCATCATCGTGACCGGAGGGTCTGAACTCTCGTTTCTTGGCAAAGAGGACGACGGCCAAGGTTGTGAGGAGGAGAAGGACTCGCTGGTCCAAGCCATCGCCCCACATCTGAGCCGGGTGATGCAGCACGGCACCGCCAAACATGTGGTCACAGAGGGGCGTGACGTGTCTGAGGAGAATCCCTGTGTCTCCATAGTCGCACAGGCTGAGAGTAAGAGTGTAGAGCATGGATGCTGACCACACTGAGGCTGTGTAGCTTCTTTAATGGTGGGCAAACATGCTTCAAATTCCAGTGGAACTGCAGATACTGAGAATATCTTGCTTGATGTATTTTTAGCATCTAAGATTAATTTGATCAGGACACATGGAATCTGGGTAAAATTATTTAGATTTTCACTTCAACTAAAGAATTGTGTTATTGATAACAAACCTGCAAATGCAAATGATGAGCCTCTACCGAAACCAGCCAGATAAACACATGGGGATTTTATTTGATTGTACTTTATCTAATAAATGTTTATCTCCCACAACACTCAATAGTGAAACTCTACATTTGAATGTACTTGTATTTCTGCATATTTTAATTGTTCATATTTCCCTGTCCCAGGGGAAGACTTCCAGGAGTTCAGTCCAACCTGTACACAGTGTCTCTACTCAAGGTCTCAGCTGCTCAAAAAACACAGGTACCTCACAATATACAACCCACATCGCTTTCTCTATGCCTCGAACTAAATAAAGTGTGGGGACACCTGAACATTACATCCAAAGGTGATGAGCATTAATCTGCTGCTGTAACAGCCTTCACTCTGATAGACCAGAGTTTGGAGTCTGGCTGCAGGGATTTGCTCCTGTTTAGCCACCGGAGCAACAATGTTCATCCAGTTCATCCCTGAGGGGTTAGATGGGGTTGAGGTCAGGGATCTCTGCAGGCCAGTCAACTTCTGAACATACTGCGCATCCTCTCACTTGCAGGTCTCTCGGTGAGGAATCTGCCTTCGTGAGTGACACGGAGGACGAGGATGTGGCCACCAAACTCCCGCTCCACCACCTGCAGAGGAAACAGCGCAGGAAAACCAGAACCAGACAGAGCCAGGACGAAGGGGAACAACCTCCGATCATCCGCGGTCTGTGGGTGCAGGAGATCGATTGGCTGAAGTCAGCGGACGGAGACACGATGTCATCCGCTGAGATCATCCCGCCTCCTCCTCAGTTTACTGACTCAGCCTCGTGCCCCTGTAGCCATGGAGACCTGCAATCCTACATACGCGATAAAGGCTGCAGCTGTGCAGATGCATGTGACTGTGTCAGAGGACTGGAGGATGTGTCCGTGTCAGAGGACCAATACAGATCAATAGAGACAGATGACACATCCAGCACTGATGACAGGGAGGACTCAGACTCTGATTGTGGTCTGGACCAGGACTCTGAATCTATCTGCACTCATGAAAGTGACTCAGACTCGTCCTACTGTGCAGAGGATGACACACGAGTTGAGGCCAGAGTGTCAAATTCGACCTTTGACCTGATGCGTGTGTCTGGTTTTACGTCCTCATCCTGTCATGCTGAGTGGGATTTGGACTCCACGGGGTGTGTGCAAAGCCTGCTGGGACTTTCAGAGTCCGCCTTCACCCAAAACACCGTGAATACGTCCCAGTGCGCCTTTGGTGTTGATGACCTGGGTGATGTTGACACAGTTTTGGATGAACTAAGAGGCAAAGTGATGCGGATGCCGAAGCCGTTTGTTTCACCATTCTTCAAAGATCTGATCAAACAGACTCTAAGTGACTGGAAACACAACGTTCCTGTGAACGAGGGAGTCCTATTTCATCATGTAAGAGATTTGCATCTACAGTAGTTTACATCTACTTTCTACTGAACACTGATGAGTTAAAAGCTTCAAACATGTCGCATTACTGGTAGCAGGCCAATCAGTTATGTCAGTAGTACGGTGGCCCTGAGAGCTCAACGCACTGCTACTTAAGAAAACATGCAAACAGACAAAAAACTAATTCAGAAAACATCTTCATTGATTTGACAACACATGAGCTGCAAATACTCACAACACAAAGGAAGTGTTTCCAGGGGACACATGTACTGTTTTGTCACGCTGTTTTGTCAGTTTGCATAGTTAGTATCTCACTCCCTTAAAGTTGTGAGACTCACAAGAGGCAGATGAAAATACAAAACTGGGCAAAAATTGAAGCTGCAGAAACCAACATGTCCTCATTCTTAAGCCCCTTTTCAGCCATGCTCCGCTCTCTTATCTGAAAAGCACTGTGGCCACTTTTAAGACAAAGGTCACGATGGCAGTCATACCTAGTTGGTCTCCGCACAAGTCTGAATTGAATACTCTCAGACTGCAGCAGCACAAGGTTAAACACGCAGAGAAAGCAGAGCATCTTCTTCCAATCTCAGTCTTCACCTCTCATGTGCACGATCAGTTGCATCACACCGCTAAAAGCATGTGGGCCAGACGACCTTCGAGTGTGGTCTGAGCGATCGGATCCCAAATGCGTTCTCAGTGCGTCTCGTATGCATTCACACCTGTGTTTTTGATCGGATCACCTGAGACAGATGTTAATTCCAGGTGTTAACAGGTCCTAAGAAACACCACGAAAGAGCTCGTTCTTCTCATGGCAAATCTTTTTGCCTCCCTGTGCGACTGGAGCAGGAGAGGTTATAAAAACCCCTCTCATAACCACAGCATATCAGATGAGCGCACATGAGAACTGATACGTGTTAACGTCCTGTCGGTCAAAGCTTGAGCGTGTCAGACTTTATAAAGCAGGCAGCAGAATTTACTCTCTAATAACTTCATTTAACTTCTTACTCCACTACTTTATAACGAAGAAATATAAAGAAGCATAAATATAAAACACTAGCTGCATTAGTTGACTTTTTTACTACTAAACATGACAAACACCACATCTGACATATTATCAGGTTTATAGGTTTGTTATGGTGAATGAGTTGTTGTTTATTTCCTCATCCAGCGAACACAGAGCAACATTAACATTAATCTGAGCCCAGGGTTCCCTCTCTTTTAGCTCTGTGTTTGGTCTCCACCAGCTCCTGAGGGAATCATCCGGCTCTTCAGCTGCTAAATGCTCCACTATGTTCACCTCTTCCTCTCTTTCACATTACACATTGATCAGCCTTTTTATAAGAAGATATTTATCAGTGAAGCTTTAAAAAAAATAAAAATACAGGTGTTTCAGCATTGTACTTTAGATACATGTGGCCTACTAAAGCTGCAAAGAGGATTCCATTATTTGATTATTAGATAGACGAAGCAATTAATACCAAATATTTTCTGTTTCCTGCTTTTCAAATGTGGAAATAGGATGTTTTTCTGTGTCATACATGACAGTAAACTGCATATTCTTGGTCCATGGTAAATTATTATTATTATTATTATTAATTTTTCACTATTTTCTGGCATTTCACAGACAAAAGAATTAATTGATAAAGAATCTGCACATTTATCATTGTTAGTTTCAACCCTAACAACGTACTTGGGTATTTTTACTTGGACAACTGGCAGTAAACATCTCTGGACACGATGAGGGATCGGGGTGTGCCCAGTGAGAAACAGCCTTTCTGATTTTGTGTTGACTCTCGTTTTAACTGCTCTGCCTTGTTCTTCAGCCTGTTTCTCGTTCATGCTGACAATGTGTATCCTTGTGCCCTCAAGCAACTGCAGCCCAGTCGTTCTCAGTACAGGGAGGGAGAGGAGTACTGCACCCTTCACCACATCCAGAACGGCTCATACGGTGATGTGTTCAGTGTCCGGGACAAAAGGACTGGATTCGAATGTGCAGCCAAGAGGGTAAGCCAAGAAAGAGTGAGTCACTCGGCACAATCCACCCAAAGCCTTTGAAACAACCTCCTGCTCTTGAGCAGTGAAACGATGATTAAGTTAAAAGTTATTGTGTCTCAGATTCCACTGAGTCATTTCAGCAGTGAGGAGGTGAGCACGTGGAGCGCTCTGGACTCTCCTCGGGTTGTGGAGCTGTTTGGGGCTGTGAGGGAGGGGTTGAACGTCGTGCTCTTCATGGACTTGAAGCCAGGTACACTTCCATCAGTATACAAATGATTAATAAAACTAGAACTCTTTCATAATAAGACTTTAACGGTTACAGCCAATAAAATACAAAACTGTAATGTTCCTCCTCAGCTTGTTTGGCCCAACTCCTGAAAGAGATGAACTCCCTACCTGAGGATCTGGCCCTGCACTACCTTCACCAGTCACTGGGGGCGCTAGAACACCTGCACCACAGAAAGGTCCTTCACCTGGACGTCAAAGGCATGTTCATGTTCATGTTTGTGTTTTAGATTAACATGCTGGGTCTGGGCTTATATATATTTGCCAGTTCCTACATTTTGTTAATAACACTACTGTACTTATTTTATTTATTTATTTCTAATGCAGGACTTCCACTTGTATGGAGTATTTTTAAGTTTTTAAGTACTGCTACTTTTACTCAAATAAAGTATCTGAGCACTTCCTCCACCACTACACTTATTTGACACCTACATTTATTTTGTAGACTAAAATTTCACATACAACGTAATTTTTTAAAAACATTTCTTTATTGAATTATTTGTTTAAGCAAAGGAACAACACAAGAAGTATGCAGATACAACACATATGACAATAAATAAACAATAATGAGTAAAATTAAATAACAATCACTAAATTATAATAATAGTAATAATGATGGAAAATAGATAAGATAAAAAAAGGCTACAGCCCTATATAGATGTTGAGCACATAAAATATATTCATAAAATATAATGAATTGATATTGATTAAGTTACCAAACAGTATAAAATGATCTCCACCTCAAACAGCTGTAGTAATAAATTGCTGTTTACATGTTAATGGATTAATAATAATGACCCAATATTTTGATATATAAATAGCTGAATACTGTAATTTACTAGTATTTTCATACTGTGATATTATTATTAATACTTTTTCCTCTTTTGGTTTATATTAACCTATAGTAAAATTTGTACATGTACATATATTAAAGATATATATGATGAAATTGTATATGGTATAACATGTTGCATATGGTAACAATATATAATGTAATATATATAATATATTTAATTACTGCAAGTTTATTAAAACAACATACATTTAAAAATGCTTATATATGTTTTTCTTATTAAATTCTTGTTAATTTAGCAAATGTCTATTTTCCCATTCTCAGACTGTTGGACCCTACTGTTTATAATATCAACATATATTGACAGGCTTTGGGATGCATATACATTAATGTAACATATATCTACAATATAAGCATACATATATAAACATACATATCTGAATGGGCTAGACATATATGTCAATTGTTCCAATTTTTTACATATTGTTTCATTTATATGTACATTTATTTCATATTTGGAAACTTATGGTATGTACATATATTACATTTGTGTATGGGGATAGTAGATTTGATATTATCAGCAGCACGTACAGAGAGGGAGGAAGCCCAGTAAAGCCTCTAGCTGCTGGTTCTACTGTCAGCTAGCATCCGCGGTGATGGTACCTAATCCTAAACTGACACCTCACCCCTAAACCCTCAGTAATCCCCTCTGAGAGGATTGAGTGGGAGGGGGCTCGCTCAAATTAGGCCCCTCCATTGTGCTCTGTGAGCAGTTTCACTCAACCACCAAATGAAGCAGTCTCATCATATCAGATCTTCATGAGGAGGTGGGAAAATGTGTGTGTGCTTTATTTTTGGAGATTTTTACCTTGTGCTACCTCGAGACAACTGTTGAGGAGCTGGACCGACAAACCGGCAGAGGCTTTGTTCCCATGTGCCCCCGTCACTCTGACAGCCCCTGACAGCCTCCTGATTTCTCAGTCAACTGTTTCATAATGAGCTCCGAATGAAAACAAGCTGTCTCTCTCAATCCCGTGTGTTGATTTTATTCCAGTTGACAATGTGCTGCTGTCTGCAGACTGCAGAGACACATTCCTCTGTGACTTTGGTCTCTCAGAGACATTAGATGACAGCGGATGGAGCACCAAGGCTTTCAGGGGTGAGTGGACTCTGAAGAGTCAGCCATGCGCCGTGACAGACGCACAATCATCCACTCGAAATTTAGTGATTCATTTAGTGATCACATTAAATTTAAATGAGCACAACACTGACTACATAAATATAATAATTATCATCATGATTATTGTCATATATTATTACATTTACAATAAGACTACCCTTATAAAGGATTTATAAATGGTTTATAATTTGGTTATTAAATTGGTTAACACTTTATAAATAATAAATAAACAATTAGAAACAAGTTTTAACAGTTTTCATACATTGATGCAGGCTCATTATTTGGCAAGATCAAGTCAATGCTTACTACTCATTAAACTTACTAATGAAGTACCAGGTAATGACGAGTCTTGTTAAGTGTAAAACACATCACCATTTATTAATGAGTTACTATACAGCTCATTTTACCAGTTATAAATGGTAGTAACTTATTAGTAAAATTATTGAGTAGTAAGCATTAACTTGATCTTGCCATTACTTATACCAATAGCTTACACAGAACCGCAAGTATAATGTCATAAAGTCCAAAAACTGACTCAGTAATATTAGTTATATCTACTTCAAGTTTTCTAACTTTGGCTAAGCTACCGGTCATACCAGACCAATTGAGGCTGCAGCAGTGAAACTCCTGCGTGCATTGGATTGAGAAATGTTGTATGTTATTACTTATATCTTTGCATATGGAAGTTGTTGTTGTTTTGTCTTTCAAAAGTTACACAGACTCACTTTAAATGATTTTGACTCCAGAGGTCACCACACATGAGGTTACATTTCTTGAGTTTAAATTTTGGTGGCAACTTGAGCATTTATATTTTATTCAAACAAGATAAACATAACGGGGGGAAGTTGGACGACTTCATTCAGTCACACCAAGGAGTTTAGATTATGGGTAATACACACAACCAATCTGAAACTCTTCATGATATTCCTCTGTGCCTGCAGAGCCAGGAAAGTGCTGGATAAAGAAGTATGAGCCGTGCAAACAGAAACGAAAGCCACGGGACAGTAACAGGTCAACGATGCAGGGATGACAATTAATGAATTCACTGTTTGTCTGTAGGAGCTGCCTTCCCGGGCACAGAGACCCACATGGCCCCGGAGGTGGCTCGAGGGGATCAGCTCTGCACCAAGGCAGATGTGTGGAGCAGCTGTTGTATGCTACTGCACATGCTCAACGGCTGCCACCCATGGATACGGTACTATTCCCATCCGCTGTGTCTGCAGGTAAAAAAATCTTCCCTTCAATCTTTTATTCTAAAATCATTTTCACCACGAATTGGACGAAATTGGAGTGAGGCGTTCTCACGTTTCTTCTCATCTCTTTTCTCAGATTGTCAACGAGCCTCCGCCTCTGTGGGAGGTGCCGTCCACCTGTAACAACTTCACGGCCAAGGTGTTCAGGGCCGGACTCCGGAAGGACCCCGACAGACGAGTATCTGCAAAGGAGCTCAGGAGGAAAACCACCAAGGCCCTCAGAGCAGGTAAAACTAAGTAGTTGAACTGTACTTGTGCAACACATTGTTAAAGGTTAAACCAATAATATTCAATAAGAAAAGCATCACTGCAGCTCTGCTGCTATTGTTGCGTTGACATCTGCATCATCAAGTGAACGTTTGCTCCACAGTTGGAGGTCTGAGTCCCTGGTCTGTCAAAACCGCCTGCGAGATTCTGCATCATGGCAAGAACCAGACTGAAGACACCCCCTGCTCTTTGTCCCTGGGGAGCACCCCAAACAAACAATCAGCTGCTGCCTCAGCACCCACCATGTACTGGGTGAGCCCCTGGAGAACGACAGCGGTGGACTGCGAAGACGTAGACTCAGATCAAGACTCTGAAGTGCAGACAGATTCTTTAACTGGGGATTGGGACTCGCAGCCAAAATCACTGCGGGATGAAAAAGATTGGGAAACTGGCTCCGATTCAGAAGTCGACATATACATGGGAGAGGAGGAATTCACTCAGGAGAAATGGCCAAAAAGTGACAAGGACTATGAGGGGGATTGGGAGGAAGAGGGACAAGAAGAAGAAGAGGAGGAGAAGGAGGAAGAGTGGGAGTCTTCTGTGTCCACAGAGTACCTCCGCGCTCTCAGAGGCCTTTTCCCTTTGCTGCAGAAAGGCCAGCAGACAAACGACAGTTCATGGGGATCAGAACCAGAGCTGGAATACCTCAGAGACGGTGAGTCAGAGAAATAACTCGCCATAAGGACGGCTCCAAAATCGTTTTTATTTAATTTGCTGCAGCTAGATTTTATTAGGATAATGCTGTAATAAAGTGCAGCTGAGTGAACTCTGATTGGATTACAGATATATTTCTGAGTTGCTGATAAATTTGGATTTTTTTCAGGCCTGTCTTAATATGACACTCACATGTCACATGTGCATTGAGTTATTGGTCAGTAGTTTAGAGGTTGTTATTGTTCTTCCTGTCCATACAGGCGACAAAGAGATCCATCCTCCCTGCTCAACCTTAGGTCCTAGAAATGAGGTTTTTCACCTCTAAAAGTTGGTTATGTTGTCAACAGGATTACGCAAAAAACTACTGAACGGATTTACACTGTACTTGGTGAAGGTTAGAGAAAGATCTTGCCCCAGTTTATGCTTCTCATGTATCAGCATTCATTCAGGTCACATCCCAGGGGTAACCATCATTTCTGTAAAAGACAATTAACTGGCGATGTTTTAAACCAGACAGTCCTGACGGTATTTTCTGAATCCCCAAAGACCCATCTAGCCTGAGGTCTGTACGCCTGCCAGGTGACTCCAGGGGACTCCAGAGCAGCTCATAAATGCAGCACTTCAATCATTCAGAAATTGCTCCCTCATGAACCGTAGACTGTGTAAAAATGGACGTAGACTCCGGGTCTGAAAAGTGAAGCCAATATGCAAGTGTCTTAAACCTGCATTCTATCGAATGACCATCAGGGGGCGACTCCACTGGTTGCAAAAAGAAGTCTGATTGTGTGGAAGTCTATGGGAAAATAACCATACTTCTTACTTCATTTATTACCTCAGTAAATGTATTTCTAATGAGTTTATGATCTCAATCACTAGTTTGAAGTCTTCTTCAGTACAACATGATGTTCATTTTTCAAATGATGGTCCCATTTAGAAGAAAATAGACAATAAAGCAGGATAGGTTTTAGGGCGTGGCTACCGTGTGATTGACACACAGGCACTCTGAACATTGAACAACATTGGGCAAACTGTGTAGTCCTCTATCATTTCTAGGAGACAGAGTTCAACAGTCTGAGTTAAGCTGAAATTATGCTTCTGAGAAGATACTCGTAAACATCTCACAGAGAAGGGTGTTATGTGATCCCAAATCTCAACAATGCATGTGGCAGACCTCAGATCAGAACAGAGAAGAAAGTGTAAATGTTTTGCAAGTTTTACGTACAAGTATAAAAAAAAAACAGTCAGGTGAATGTCTGTGAACAAATTCCACACAGGTTTGTCTACATGCAGCCTTGAGACGTGTGTTTAAGGCTTTAGATAAATCATGTTACTAGCATTTCTTTTTCCCTGAACTGTTTTTCTTTCCTGAGTCCCGGTGGTTGTATGTGGATTTGTTTCTTGTTCTGATCGAACCCTCTGCTGGCTGCGTCACACTCACTTTTCGTCTTTTTGGATGTCTCTGTAGTTTTCAGTGCAAGTGACCAACGTAGTTTATGTGAAGAAGAGAACCTAAGAAAGAAATACAGATCATATTTACTCTCTCACCTCATTCTTTTGAAGCATGTTGACACCTTTAGATGCTGAATCATCAGACTGAAGCCCAGGCAGCCATTTATTACCTTTATTACCTGGAGATAGAAATTCATAACTAAAATTTCTTCTGTTTTTGCACTAATAGAAATATGTTGTGTCTCACTAGATGTAGCTATTGGCACCATGATCCAGACCCCCTCCCCTGAACCTCGAGATGACCCCCCCTCCTGCTTCAGCTGCTCAGATACATCGCAGATAGATGCCTCAGAGAAGGTGTGCACATATGGATTCAGACACAAATATGTCTGTGTGTTCATGTGGATTAAAATAAAAACAATTCTTCTTCTTCTTTTCAAGGACTCTGACCATTCATCTGATGACCTGAGCTCCGGAGTCTTTTCCTCCTGCAACAGCCAGACGGACAGACATTTGGAGTGGTTGGCCTCAGCCAATCAGCCCTCCTCATACTGCTTCGAAGGTGAGACGTCGGGAATCTGTCACTGAGATATTTTGCTGGTTAGCAAATCATTACTTCTAATGATGCTGTGACACTCGCAGGTGTTGACATCTGGATAGAGAATGTCCAGGGCGAGTGTCTAAGGATCCGTGAACGTCGACAGGTCAAAGTTGGTCATGTTGCCATAGGAATCAGTGATCAGGTAAGTTACTTTGAAATTACATGTTTCTTAAAAGTCCATATAGTATAAAGGTAGATGTCCATGTGTTGTGTGATTATAGATCAGGTCTAGGTTCTATATTAATACTGTGAAAGTATCAAAGCCTCAGTCCACAGAGAAATGCACACAGCCTGTATTCACAAACTGAGCCTTAAAACCAGCTGTCAGGACTTCTGTAACTTTGTGATGTCACAACAAAGCAGTCACTGCTCTCAGCCATGCCCCAAGCCCCGCCCACCTGGACCCACCATCCAACCTTGCAGGATTTGGTTTCTCTGAGTGTTTACCTGAAATCTGCTGTATTTTTATTGGATCACTCAGAAAACAGTCAGCCAATCAGCAGAGAGCCTCAGAGCCTAAATGCCTTTAAACTGTATGGAATTGTTGTGACAGATTGTGTGTTAAATCCTTCTGTGCAGAGTTTCAGTCAAAACCATAACAAACACTGTCACTGCTGTTGCTATCGTAACAAAGAAGATCATTAGCTCAGAATGGAGAGGTGATGATTTAAGTAAAAAGTTCAATTAAACAAATTAATCATTTTTAATTGGTGCATCTAACCATTTTATGCAGCTTGTCCAGGACCAGGTCATATTCATTTAATTAATTATATCTCTAGGAATTATTTTTTACACAGCTGGGGAAAAATGTATTTAATAATCATTTCAGACCATATAATCCTGACTGGGTTTCCATCATACGTTCATATTTTGGCCAATGGTGAAATAGCTATTAAACTGCATTCTGTGTGGTTTTAAAAAGTCCTCAATTTAAGAAATCCTGATTCAGCACTGCTATAAAACCTGCTACGTGTAGGACAGTCACATGATCATTTATAATGATGTTTTAGGCCTCACTCTGAGTCTGTGATGACATCATATGCAAAATGCCAACTTTACATGTAGGGCCAAAGTCCAGACATCACTTCCTGTCTAGCTTCAGTTGCACTAGTTAATGATGAATGAGAATCTACCACAGCATTTAAATCTTTTCTGTTTTTAGAAAAGTTAAACTACAAAATAATTTGTCAACATACAAAAACTACAACTCACAAGATCATTTTCCACCATGACAGCATTGTTAGTCATCGTAACAGTTTCCCCTCCTTGGTGTCACACACACGCGTTCCTCTATTGTCATTCCACTTACTTTTTAGCTCTCGTCTCTCTGTCCTCACCACATGTTCATTTTCATGACTCAGGACTCGGCTGTTATTCAGTCTGTGCAGCCGGTGACTTTAACAGGCAGGGGTTGTGGGAGAAGGTGTTAGTTAAAGGCCACTAACAGCAGAGATAGTTCAAGGTTCAAGGTAGAATTTACTGTTCATATACAACACTCAGTATACAGGGAGACAAACTTCAGATACATCTAAAAACAAAAAAACAAGTACAAAGACAATTAAGTATTTAATGTACTGTGATATAACATGTCCAGACAATTGTAATAAACTGCAGGGAATTGGATAAAGTTATGTTTCAAAGTTGTTTTTTTAATTTGTGTTATTTGTCAATGTGGTTTTGAATGAGGTTTTCTCACTTCTGGAACAAAACGTGATCCATGTATCACCCATTCAGAGGTGAACCCTTACAGGCTGATTCAACTTTTCTCTCATTCACTATTTATGAGGAGTTAAGGCCCCAAAAAGGTCCATATAGTATAAAGGTAGATCTCCATGTTTTTCTTTGATTATAGAGCAGGTCTAGGTTCTATATTAATACTGTGAAAGTATCAAAGTGCTCAGTCGACAGGGAAATGCACACAGTCTTGTGATGTCACAACTATACAGTCACTGTCCTCAACCATTCCCCAAGCCCCACCCACTCACACCCACCATCCAACCTTGCAGGATTTGGTTTCCCTGAGTGTTCACCTGAAATCTGCTATATTTTTATTGGAACACTCAGAAAACAGTCAGCCAATCAGAAGAGAGGTTCAGAGCCTCCTCTCTTCTGGTTGGCTCACCAACCTGTTGTTACAAGAGCTCCAGAGAGAAGAGAGGAGATTTGAAACTACACTGAGATGGTGTTTGGTTCTTAAAACTACAAATATCAACACTTCAAATACACACAAGAAACAGTAACTTTTTCTATCTACAAAATTAGAACGAAATCACAAGCAGACAAGAACTGCACCTGAATAAAATGAATTAGCAAAATTTTGATATAAATCAGGAAATATCCTATTTAATGAAAATGTAAAGAACATTGTGAATCTGACAGTGCCTTCTTGCAGTGCTGCACATCTTTTACATTTTTTATTCACACAAGATATACCCTCAGAAAAACACTATACGACACAAACAGTACACTAATAAACTACACAATAGCTGACTTCCAAATTCAACAAAATCTCATCTCTCATCCAGATCTCGGGGAAGGCCTTTACTTTGGAAACCCTGGACAGGAAGCTGGTGTCTTTTGACCAGGAAATCAAAGAGTCTGGTGTATGGCTCCGCTGTGTTCCCGCTCCTGACAAATGTCAGCGCTGGAGGTGGAGGGTCAGAGACGGCAAGCTGGAACTCCAGGAATGAAACAAACATTTTTGTTATTTAATTTTTTTGTACGTATTGTTTGCACTAACTTAGGTTGTGTTTGTTCTCAAATCATGTGGACTGTATTTGTAGATGTACATGTTGGAATCTACTGGTTAAAAGCTGGAAAACTGCTGCTTTTGTGATAAATGTGAGATTAGCGACTTTTATCCTTGAATAATGTAGAGCATTATTTTAGAGATGGATTCCTCAGAATTAGGTCAAGTGTGTGCACAAGTACAAGGACTCCGATTTCGAGCAGATCTAAATATACTTACAGCTCTTAGAGCATAGGTAAACATAAGGGTACCACTTTCTATTAAGGCATCATTTGTAAATGGTTTATAAGCTTTAAGGCTTTATTAATGGTTAATAAATGATTTATTAATGTTTTATTAAGAAGAACAACTTTTGGGTTGCCAGGTTGTGAAAAAATACTTATATTCTGGAGAAGCGCTGCAGGATGTCTGGACCAAAATCCATTTATAGCCTCACTATTAACATTTACAACCACAGTCTTGATGGATTATTGTGAAAACCATTCATTTTTATTTATTACTATTTATAGTTGCAGGTAAGTGACAAACTTATGCAGCACTTTTCTAGGGGGTCAGTGGTCAAACAGTGCACTGGAGAGGTCTCGCTAATGGATCTAGGAGCTAAAAAAGACAAGAAAAGTCATGGTGTACAGGAGGAGGATTTGTTGTTCTTATTAATGGGGTATTACTGTAATTAATAAATGATTTATTTACCATTAATAAAGCCATTAATTATAGCTTGTAAAGCCTTTATAAATGGTGCCTTATCAGAAAGCAATACAAAAATAGATCCATATATAAATAAATATTAGAGTTTGCTACCTGCCATTTCTTTAGAATGAGCAAAGCTGCTTAAAACAATTAATGATACCACATGAGCCCTCAACACTTTGATACTTGAATGTTACTGACATTTTATATCTTAATAAAAAATTACCGTCAAGGTTAAAGAAGCTGCTCTCCTGTGCTGCCTCTGCTTGTTTTCTGGTCATTGCCTCCTCCAGTTTCCAGGTTACATAGCAGGACAGTGGTGCTTCACCACACACATCATAGATTGGATACATGGACTAGGACCAGACCTGTAGCAGGTTGTAAACATTTACAGCACTGATAAAAAAAAAAAACAAGCTTTGCCCTTGCAAAGAAGGTTTATGTGATTGTATCACGTGTGGAACCGTTTTTCATATATTTAAATCACATGATTTAGACACTTTTGTTAGAAATATAGGATGTTCATAATGCTTTATTTTTCAGATTTGTAAATTCTGGTTGGTTTCCAAATAAATTCCGAATGAGTTGCCTGGAAAAAATGTTATTTAGACAGATAGAAATACAGATTATAAGTAAAATAAGGCTATTTTGTACACTTCCAGTTATTTCCAAATGCCAGCCCAGCACAACCTTGAGACTTTACTGAGAAGATAACAGGTGAGCTGAACCAGAAAATGTGAAATATGTCTATAAACAAACATAAACTTCAGCATGTAACTGATAAAAACTGAACAATAAATGAATAAAGAATTAATTCAAGTAACACTCTCAGAACTTCTCTCTATTTTCCCTGTTGTTGGTGACAAACTATTTCCAGGAAGAAGTGAACCTGTATAAAGCAATGCCAAAATGTTTTAGTTCAGATTTGAAATTATTATCAATTATTATAACAACTCACATATAAAATGTGACACTGGTCACATCTGGGAATTAGAGGTTTTTAGGAAACTGGTGGGTGCCTCCATTCAACAATTAAAAACTGACATTCGGTGGATATTCTAGAGGCTGGTTCCTGCATTTTGTAAAACTGTTTATTTAAACTCTACTTCCTTGGACCACTTAAAATTTGAATAAATAATTCAACATTTCTGCACCAGAATTTGACAATAAAATTTAAAGAAAACACAGTTGAAAAGTAAATAAAATTGAAAATTTGAGTTATTTTGAAAGAGGAAGGACTTGAACTTATAGCCTTTGTATTTCTTATTTTGGTTAAGACCCTGTGGTTCAGTTGAGGTTAATGTTTGAGGAATGTGGAGCTCACTCAGGTGGCCCCTCCCACGGCAAATATTTAAACATGGCCCACCACCTTGTAGCAGGCCCAGCATCAAATTTCTACTGTTGTTTACTGATCACAACTTGTACTTCTCTAACTTCATAACATGGTCCTTTATGTGAGGAATAATAACGTAATCAAAACAATATTCAATGAAGAATACTTTAATACACACATGACCCCACTGGCTTGAAACCACCTTGTGTTCAGAGAGACAGTAGAGCTTGCTGACTTGCTGCGGGTGTCCACCTCTACTACGCCTAACCTAGCTTAGCCTAAACCCTAACCCCGGCCACGGAGGGGGCAATAAAGGAAACATCATTTTAACAAGAGGGAAGTTATTTTACATCAAACTGGGAAAACTAAAGTGGGAAAGTGAGAAGTTGCCCTATTGAGCTGACTTTGTGGATGGAGGCGAGGCATTATCATGTAGTACAAACGCAAACTGTTGACACAAATTAGGGAGCACGTTATTGTCTACTGTATCATCATTTTGGCTGTCTTTGTGGTCACTTTGTGTCTATTTGTCATTTTGTATCTCTTTGTGGTTGTTTTGTGTTTGTGTTCATTTTGCATCATTTTGTGTCAATGTGTCTTGGGTCATGTCTCTTTGTGGTCTGTGGTCATTATGCATCTTATTTTGATTCTTATTTGTGTCATTTTGTTCTCTTTATGATCATTTTGTTTCTGTGGTCCCTTTGTGGTCATTTTGTGTCTCTGTGGTCATGTCTCTTTGTGGTCTGTGGTCATTGTGCATCTTATTTTAATTCTTATTTTGGTGTGATCATTTTGCATCTGATTTTGTTTCTCTGTGGTTGTTTTATGATTCTTTATAATCATTTTGTATCTGATTTTGGTCTTTAAACTGAGTTCTCAGACTTTCAAACGAGAACTGTTAACTATAACTTAAATACTGAGGGTAGGCCTGTTCACTAACTTCAAATGACAGCCGTAGCCATTTTGTCAGGTTGGACACCAACATAACAAAAGAAACCACTAAGAGTTCAGTCAGTCAGCCTGTCAGTGTTGTTATCCACCTCCCTGGGTGCCTGTGTCTGAAACTTGAATAAACTTGTGTGCGGTTCACTTCCTCGACATCTTGTGCACCGTGCGCACAGATCTGCGGACACTGTGATAGGTCAGCAGAGGAACAGAGGCGGGTTGTTAGTTACACCATTTCCTCGGTGATTGGAGCCGGTTTGATAGTGGGAAGTGTCCGTACGCCGGTGTCTCCCTGGTTGCGCAAGACGCCATTTTGGAGTGACAGTGAAAGATAACGGAAAGATCGAGAAGCTGTCTTTCTAAAGGTAAATATCCGTACAAACAGGCTGTTAGTGGTCCTAAAATGTGAGATAATGTGCGCCAACTGGTTCTCCGTGCGAACGGTCCGTTTTATTTAACGTTTAACATGACGTCACGGTGCACTCGCTTTACTGTGACGCGGCAGTTAGCTAACGGCGGCTCGGTTAGCCTGCTCGCTAACGTAGTTCCTGCTAGGTCGAAAAGCTACCGAGAGACCACCGAGTTTAAGTCTGACCGACGCTTTTCAGAACATGTCAACGTTGGATGGGTCGACAGTGTGTCGCCGTATGCTGTAAACGACGGAGTTCTTCAAACCGTTCGCGAACGGTGTCGCCCGTCAGTTAGTAGCAAGCTAACGTAAGCTACCAAGCTAACTAGCCGAAGCATCCGCCCTTAATGAAGCCATCGGTAATCTGCTTCGAGCTGTGGTAACCGGCTAAAAGAACTCATCTCCGATTGTCCACACGTCTAAAACAATCAATTCATCATGGACTGAACGCATTTACTTAATATTTAAGGGTTACCTCAAGCTGTAGCTGAATTGTCGGCCTTTTGCTAAGGTCGGGGTGTTGTTAGCATGCTAGCGAGCTCACACCTACAGTAACATTATCTGTATTGCTGGAGCCGACAGAGTTTACCAGCTGTACCAGGCCTCTCTTATCTGGTGATCGGTCTTCTGTTCGGTTTATCGGGGTTAATAGCGTGTCTGGGTTTGCAACCAGCGATTATTTTCGCTATCAATATTCCCAATTCCCAATTTCCCAATTAGTCAATATATCGCTTAGTTAATAATACGTTGGAATATGGTGAAAATGCCTGTTGTAACTTCCTAAAACCCTGGTTGACGTCTTCAGATGTTCTGTTTTGTCTAAGCAACAGTCCAAAACCCAAATATATTCAGTTTATTCTCATGTACAACTAAGAAAAGCATTCAATTCTGAAGATGTGGAACCATCAAATGTTTTGCGTAAAAAATAACTCAAATGAAAATTCAGTTAGTTCATATTTTTGTGGATTGACTAACCTAGGGCTGCAACCAAGGGTAACCCACATTTCAGAGGTTGAAACCGGTAAATGTTTGGCATTTTTGCAGAAAAAATTAAGAAAACGATTTATCTTTTATCCAATAGCTGACAATTAAAATTCTGTTGATCAGTTAATGACGAGTCGTTTCAGCTCTAAATGTAGCTGTATAGGATTTTTAGTGCATCATCTTAAGATTTCTCTGTAAATTAGGTGACGTTAACATCTTAAGCTGCAATCAAGGACTATTTCCATAATTGATTAATTTTGTTTTCTCAATTATTCAATTAATCATCATCTTTTAAGTGCCAGAAAATAGTGAAAATGCTTGTTCTAAGTTCCCCTAGTCCAAAATTACATCTTCAAGTGCCTGGTTTTATCTGACCAACAGTCTAAAACAATCATCCACCAATCGTTGCAGCTCTAAATTAATATATTTATGATTTTTAGCATCATCTAGTGAGATTTCAATATAAATTGTGTAACATTAACATCTATGTTGTGTAATTTAACACAGGGAAACGTGAGATAATGGTTGATAGTATTGGCTGGCTGGTAATGTATAGCCACAAACCTTAACCTTAATGTTTAACCATTACCCTCAGTAAACATGGCTCCCAACATATTACATTCATTGTGCTGCTTTTAGTGCAATGAGAATCTGCTTTTTACTCAACCAAGTAATATACTGCCATTACCATCTTATTTTAGCTCATTTATTTGTGCCTTTATAAACTCCCAACAATGATGGAATAATATGTTTACTGCCAGCACACTAGCCTAACTCACAGGTGGTACTGTTATCCTGATCATTCACTCTTTCTGTCTTGTTCTGTCCTCTTGGTGTTTTCCACTCTGAAACTGAAAAACCGCAGATGTTAACACTCCTAACTGTTTTCTTCTCCTCTTTGACAGCTTCGTCACCATGGGGAATGTATTTGCAAGCTTATTCAAGGGCCTGTTTGGCAAAAAAGAGATGAGGATTCTCATGGTCGGGCTCGATGCTGCTGGAAAAACAACCATCCTATATAAACTGAAGCTTGGAGAGATAGTCACCACCATTCCCACCATTGGTATGAATATCCATTTATTAATCAGATTTACTTACTTAACACTCGCATTTTTTTTATGTCTTATGTCTCAACATATTTGCTGAGTACCTTTTTTGAAATTTTTTGGTGCTAGTATAGATAGTTTTTGGTACCAAAACCTTTTCTTCAGGTATCACAAAAAGTAGCCTGACTTTGAAAAATCAACATTTTTCTCTTTGAAGACCTGCTGTAGGGGACAATGTACA